AAAAAAAATGTTTTCAGGAAGATTTTGAACAAGTAGAGCTCCTTGGAGGTGGACGTGGTGTAAATTCTTTACTAGCACAAGGTCGTGCATTTGAGGAACAAAGAGATTGGACCAAAGCAGTGCAAGCTTATTTGAAGGTCTGGCACTCATTTCCATCTGGAAAAAAAACTTATTTAATTTTTAGGTTAACGCAACCACTACAAATGACGCTTCACTGATAAATGATGCGCTTATGAAAAGCGCTGATCTTGTGTTAAGATTTCTTGCTTCAACTGACGAGGAGGTACGCCTATTTTTACACCATAAGCTGATTTGAATCAATTAAAATTACAAAATATTTAATTTAGCTGGTAATGAAAGTGGTCGACGCTCTCGAAGCAAACAAAATGTACGAAAAGATGGCTGAACTTTTGATAGCCATTGGACAGAATCGACAAGCTGTGGCAGCCTTGGTTCGAGCTCAACAATGGTCCAAAGCTAAACAAGTTCGTTGCATTTTCGATGGCGTTTCTGAAAATTCTGGAAAAAATCTCATTTACGCTAAAATTTTAGTGAAATAATCATAAATAATAGCGGCGATATAAGGGGTATAGTGTAATGAGGGTAAAGAGCTGCCTATATATTGGGTTACAAGTACGAGTTCCAAATCAGCTGGTTTGAAAACCTTACCATGGAACTTTTTGTTATATTGTCTTCTGATGTCTCAAATTCGAGACCCCTCATCGTCTCAACCATTCGAAGTGATAAATACTTCTATTTGCTTAATTCACGTTTCTAGGAGAAAAAAGTTGTTTTTTTAAAATTCATACGTTTATGTTGTTCCAGTCAACTGACAGTCACATAATTGCATGTATATTGTTAGAAAAATGCACTCAATAGAAGAAAACGTCAAATAAGAATCTCAGTTCTGTACAAATCAATAATGTGCACAGTATGAATGGAACAGAAAATAGACAGAAAACAGAAAATGAAAAAGAAAGAAAAAATCTAACAGTTTTCTTACTGCTTAACCTTACGAATGCCTATTGAATAGTTAGATCCTTCCAAAAAAGTTATTTCGCAGGGTCCGCTCTCCTTCTCAGATGTCTCCGTGTCCTTCTATTTGTTCTTAGATCCTTGCAAAATAACTTCAAAAAATCGTTAAAGGTCGCAACGGAGCTGGTCCCAGATATGGTGGCCGAGGTTGAGGGACAGTACAAAGAATGGCTGACACAAGAAGGTCGAGTTGGAGAGCTGATTGACGTCGATGTAATCTCAGCTATTGACTTGCTTATTGCTAAAGATCAGTGGGAGAAAGCACTAGAGACAGCTCGACAACAAAAAGTAAAAATTTTTTGTTTTCTTCCATTGTCATGCCCATGTTCTACAAAATCACATTTTAGCACAAACCTCTTCTTGACAAATATGTGGCACAATATGCTGCGGTGTTGCTTGAACACAATGACATAGATCTTATGCTTAGAGTTTTTGAGAAATATGGAGCTTCGTCGAATCCTGCAAACTTCAACTTGTACAAACTTATTCTGGATAAGGTAAGTCTTTACATCTGCTGTTTGTAAGCAGAATTATAAAATCCGACTTTTAGACAGTGGCACAGTCATTCAGTACGCCTTCAGACGAATTCAATGCGCTCAGTCCTATTCGCGACCTTTTTCTTTCTGTGTATGAGCAGTTGGTCAAGGAAAATTCTGAAAGTCAATATGTATGGCTTTTGAAGATTTGTAAATTCCAAAGTGCTTTAAACTTTTTTTTTCAGATCT